TATTATGCATTGTTGCCTCTAAGAGTTTTAGAGAACTTTAGTTGTTCTCCCTAGCAGAAGGAAGGAACAATGCTTAATTTGCTTTTACTATCCACTGGCACAACAATCTGTTAGTCTTTCGATAGATTACCTGCTAGACACAGAACTTTGCTTGAACAAACTGTGAATGTTTAAAGAATATTGTTTAAATTAACAGAACATGCACTGGCAGAGAAATGCACAAAGACTTCACAAACTTTTCTTTTTTCCAGTATCTGTGCTGTTTGTGAATATAAAGGGTTAAAGTATTAGTACTACTAATTGCACATTCTTTTCTTTTGTCTGGCACTGTGACTAATAGTTCAGTACCAGGATCTCTCTAAAGGTATGCCAAAATCTACAATTCAGTGGTACACAGGTAAAGTTACAGAGCTGTAGTTAACAAGTGAAGATAGTATTAAAACACAATATTCCACAAGTGGAAGTATTAGACAAATAATACAAAGGACAGAGAAAAAGCAACATTTAGAAAAAAAAAAAAAGAACTCCCAGGCTTGCAAAAATGTAGGGGAGCAGTGAACAGCAATCAAATTAATGAGGTATTATATATTATGTTATAAACACTCCACCTCAACTAAACAAGAGATGGGTAAAAAAAAAAGATTTAAAAAAGTAGTGAAAAATTTAATCAAAAAAGAAAAATTCAAAGTAATATAAAAAAAATCAATATATACATGAATTAAATCTTTATAAAAATCAACACAGTATATTTTTAGTTAGCATAAATTCAGCTGCATCATGAGTATAGATAGCAGGCCAATTTTAATTTCCTCAATAAAACTTGGTTTCGAGAAGTTAAAAGATAAAGATTTTGATGGCATTCATTTACAGCAACTACTGATCAGATGCTTCTCTGTCTAGATATTGTGTATAAAATAAACAGTCTATCAAGATGTCCCAGGAGACAACAGAATGCCACTATGGCTAGGGACAGACAATACACATAAACCAGTTTAAGTGATGAGAAACTGGTTTAAACTTGTAACAGAACAGATGTTCAGTGCACATAAACCAGTTTGAAAATGGCTGAACCTGGTTTGAGATAAACCTGGTTGAATCAGCCTTAACTAATTTCGGTCAAACTGGTTTATGCAATTTCTGCCCCAACCTCCTTGCTGGTTTAAGATTAACCAGATTCCCCAAGCATTCCGACATGCTCTCTTGTCTGGGCAGGGCTCTCCGCTCCACAGCAGGGTTGGCCCCGCCTCTCTGCTCCCTGGCTGCAACTGCAGAGGCTGGCAGGCTTCTCCCCACTTACACCTTGCCACTCTCTGCTAAAGCAGGAATTCCCTCCTACCCTCTGTCTTGCTGAGAGGTGTCTGTGTATTAGCTAGCAGACCACATACTGGCTCTGGCCTGTGTGGTGACAAAGGCAGAATCAACAGGTAGCTGATAATGTCCCTGTGTTGTTTTCTTAACGGGTGATAAACACAGAGTTAGGGATGATAAAAACTCTTATCAATTCCCTGCTGAGCTAATCAGAGCGCCCTGCTGGGGCCTGGCCATGCCTTCTTTCTTCCCACCCCACCGTTCAGCACTATGGAAGGGAAGGAAGTGCTGGTCTAGCACCCCTCAGCTTCTAGCCTGAACCACTGCAAGCAGGTGCCTGCATTTCTGGAATGAAAAGGGAATGTCTATCCACCTCCAAATTGGGTCAAGTTTTGCAAGTTAGACTAACCAACAAAGATTGAATCAATTCAGGCTCAGTCTTTTTGAATGTCTGTCCCTATGTCTACAGTTCCCTAGCTGAAATTTTGTTTCTCGCTAGAGTCAAGGACTTTCTGGGGTGATATCTTTTATTGTAAAAAAACTGCATGGATGAGATAAAGTCAGACAAGTTTTTGAATCCAAAGTATTCCTCACTGGGTCACCAACCATGCAGTTGTCCTAATAAAAAGGTATCACCCCACAAAAAATCCTTGCCTCTCACATAATTCCTAGACCATCACAGCTAAAACAAAAGAACATCCAAATTGTTAGCTCGCAGATTATGCAACATAGTAAGCCACATGACCTCTTGAGGTATTGTTACAGGTTAATTTAATTGCGTGTTAAGGGCCCTTAAAAAACAGGAGCGTTCATACAGGAAAGCCTTAGTATTCACGGGTTCAGCATTCTCAGTTTCAAATATTCACAAGTGTCGAACCTGCATTTTAAATACACTTTAAACACTTACCAGAGCTCCTTGGGAGCTGTGCGCTTGCTGCCACCAGAGCCATGCCCCACCCCCACCAGCTGCCCGGGGCACTGCGTTCATGAACGCAGACTGTGTTCATGTACACAATACCCTATTTACGGATTTCACCATTCACGGGGATCCCGGGAACGTATCTCCTGCGAATGGCGAGGATCGTCTATACATGCTAAGAGTCCTCTGAGCAGCACAGCCATAATCCTCTTCCAACAGGGATGACCTCTAACTGGTTTTAGGCAGCTTCTGTTGCAGTCATGTGCGACTACTCCACAGGCGCAAAGCCAGTGGAGTGGTCCCTCCAGTATCCCAGGAGGCATTGTTCCCAGCTGTTCTATCTTCCCCCATAGTGACAGTGGAGACAGCCAAAGGAACTTCTAAAGGTAAGAATCTCCCGTCTTCTCCCATTCCAGGCTCAGCCCAGCTCCTAGGGTTCCCCCCATACATCTCTCCCAGATCCCCATGCCATTTCTCCTGCAGCTCTTGGGGAAGCAGGCACGGAATGGAAACCCACCTGCCACCGCCACTGGCTGCTGTGTGGGTGTCTTGGCCAAGGCAGAAGGTGGGTGCCCATTCCCTGCTTGCTGCACTGGGACAGCACCAGGAGTTGCAGGTGATCCAGGGGACACAAGGGCAGGGGTGTCTCACAAGGGCCAGTGTAAACAAAGGAGGAACCCTGAGAGACAGGGAGGGAGCCCCAGGAGCTGGGAGACAGTGGTGGATCCAGTCTAGGCTTCCTTGGGGTAGGGTTGGGAAGAAAGGGGCAGTGGGCTGAATCCAGGCAGCAGGGTGCAGTGGGGACCCAGACTGCAGGAAGGTAGGGGCTGGCAGGCCTGATGGGAGCCTGCCAGACCCCAGGTATCCACAAGCTGGGCCACCTATGCTCCCCTGAGAGCAGGTGAGCCGAGTAGGCCCACAGGCAGCTTGGCTCCTAGCCATGCCCCTACTCACCAGGTCAATAAGTGAACATTACAGGGGGTATTAACCGTCACCATGTGACTGCTCAAAGTATGTGCCAATTTTAACACCAATTAAATTAGCACATGCTACCTGTAATGTGTAACAAGGTCTTTAGCAGAGACCTGTAGTTAGCTATGTTAGTCTGAAGCATGAACAACGCATGCTCCCAGAGGCTGGCAGGGCACGGCGGTGAGGGCATGGCAGCGGTGAGCAGGGAACTCCCACAGGTGGCCACAGCAGTGGTGCGGGAGATGCGGGGGAGGGGCAAGGGGTGGTGAGCTCCACCAGCTGTTGGCAGCCACCCACAGATGCTGCTGGCAGTATTGGTGGTGCTTCTCTCAGGGGGTGCACATGCACCTGTGTATACCCCCTAAGCACTGCCAATGGTCTGAAGTGATGCAGAAGGCACCATCTTGAGGACTGATTCAGATAGGCATAAGCTTTCATAGGCAACAGTTTACTTCATTGGATGCTTTACCACCTATGAAAGCTTATGCCTCTTTGAAACTATCAGTCTCCATGATGCCAACCTGTCCTGCCTTTTACCTTCACGCTTGTAATTTTTTAAATCAAAACCATTCAAGGAAACTATCACATTCTACTGTGTTCATGGCAGCAGGAGTACCATGCACACTCTGTGGAAACAAATACATTTTAAAAGGAAACTATAAACACCAAAATCACAGCAAAAGACTGCCAAAAAAAAAAATCATGTACAAGTCCCCCAGTGGCACCTCAGAAAAGATGATGCTCACATTTCCTGGAAACTTCCAAGGGCCCCAGTCAAATATCTCCTCCAAACAAACACAGTATTTAACCAAATTGCATCTTTGGGCTTCTTATTTTTTCCTGGTGAGGATTTGCAGGCCTTCTGAAGAACTTCACACATTCTGGAACCACATCTACCACAGAAGCCCATTTCCTCTGGTAATCTTCAAGATTGTACTTATTGTCCCTCCACTCCCTTGCCCCCAATCAAACAAACAAAAAGTAGTTTGCAGATAGAAAAAACAATTGTCTAAAAATATGTTCACCAACTATAACAATATTATGTTATATTCACATTTCCATGCTGACTTTCACCATAAGAATACATCAAGGCATTTTATAAACACAAGAATAGTATCATTTTAAGAGTGAAACCCAGTAATTGTTTAGAAGTTGTACAGGAACACACAGTATTTTATGGAAGGCAGTAAGAAAGTACATTCTCTAAATGAGCATAAGATATGTACGTGGTTCCCCTTACAGTCATATCTGCATGTCCTATAAACATAGGAATAAAGAATCTCTCACTTGCTTCCTTCTTAGGGCTCAAGTTGTTAAGTTTACTGGTATGTGCTCTGACAACATCCTGAGGGAAAAATAGGTTAAGAGGCTGAGTTTTCCATTTGGATTTGAATATGGAGTAATATTAGTGCAAGAAATTTAAAATGGACAACTAGCTAAACTGGAAGGAACAAAAAAAAAAAAAATCCTTTATCCTTTAAATGCCCACAACATATGTCTATTTGTCTGTAACCTTAATTTAATGTGTCCACTTGGAATCTGTCATTTAAGGATCTTTTCTTTTAGATACCTTGGTTTATTAAAGTTAAAATTCTTTATGCAGAGACTCTTTGTCAGATCAGTTATTGTAGCTGTGTGTCTTCAAAAAATATTTACTAAACACAAACAAAAAGAAAATTACCTCCAGGTTCATCCACGTAAAAAGCCACATCTTTTTTGTCTTCTCTTTCAATGTGATCATATGTAATCTGTGGAACAGAGAAGGCTGTCTCTCCAGAATTTATTATCAGTGTAGAACCATTATCACGTCCAGGTTTTCCTTTTCTTTTGTATCTTCTACTCTGTAGGAATGATGATGGGATAATAAGATAATAACTAAATACAGAAAAAGGTGTCGTTTGAGATTGACAGATCAGTGAATTGATTCAAATTCGATACAAGAATCTTCATTCAAGGTAAATTATAAAGATGAAATTTAGAATCAGAGTAAAGTACTTGTCTAATTTTCTAAAGCGACTAAATAGAGATAACTGAGAGAGCTGTTAACAAGCTGACTCAGGCACTGAAAGCAGTCTAGGCACAGCAGCAACCATCTTACCCAGGGCCAGACAGGCATGGGCAAACCGGGCAGCCACCCAGGGCTTGGACAGAAAACGGTAATTTTTAAATTTTTATCATCATTATCTCTGTCCAAGTTCACCTGGGGCTGCCAGGAGTCTAGGTATGGTGCTGATCTTACCTGACTTTTTAAGTGGCGTTCCATGCTTCTAGACTTCTTTTAGTACCTAGGCTAGCTTGTTTACAGCTAGTTCTCCGGATACTGTAGAGAGGCTCACTATGTCCCTATTTTAGACACTCACTTTGAACATCTCTCAATGTACACCCTGCTTGGAGGAGCTCTGGTATCTATGTGGCATCCTGCAGCAGGTGAGGCAGGATATCTATCTCAGTCACACACACTACTATAGTCTCCAATTCGATAATTTAGCAGCTAGCAAAAATGGTATCGTCAGGGAAAGCAAGCAGAACCACAAAAAAAACAACACACTGAAGTACTGCTGTATAAAAGCACAGAACAAAAACAGCTGGTCCAGCTAACAGCAGAAGTCATTTCAGGATGAACTACATTAAACCCTACATTCAGGTGCTATTGGATAAAACAGAAGCACTTTAGGACTAGAACACGATAGGTACTTCTGTTAAGTAAAGCAAGGAAAAATTAGAAATGCATGAAAGTTATTTTTTAAATATCTCTAGGTAAGTGTCTAAGAACTGAGAAACCAGACAGACAGTCAAAAGTCAAATTGCCCTGATGAGAAACGCAGGCAAATTATCAATACACAACAGTTGCCCTCAAAATAAAGGGTCAAGCAAAGCTTATGTGGCACTTGGACCTCTTCTGACACTCTTCATAAAGGACAGATTCCTTCATTAGTGAACAGTCAACAAAATTGTTAAGTATGCAATTAATGTTACAGAGCAGAGAATTAATATCTAATACTTTATTAGGGGGAAAAACAGCTAGAAATAAAAAAAGACACAGTGTAGTCTAAATGGGAGGGCACCCTACTGGTAGAAAGGACCTGAGCTGTTTCTCAACTCCTTCACTGACCTGTTGTACAATGCAGAACAAGGCCCTTCACCACTTTCTGCCCGTTCCCCCTTCTTTTTTCCTTCTGTGGTTATTTTATCTATTTAAGACTAAGTGTTAAGGGCCTTGACAGCCTTTTGCCTTTGCATTTGCAGGGCCCATCATGTAGAGGTCCCATTGTGCCATGGTATCAATAACAACTTTAAAAAGGCTACAACAAATATAAGAGTGTTGTGCTTAGATTTGATTATCCACTACTGTTTCACCTTATTTTAGTCAAAAGCAGAGAAATTTGCCAATGGCACTTTTTCAAATAATTACCATAAAACTAAACACTTGAAACAAATGGGATAAAATTATATATCAGAAATCAAATGCAGAGCCCAAGCACTGATTTAAACTGCTTTTCACCTTCTGTACTCATTACAATAGTACAACGTGAATGCAGAGTAAGTATACAGTATTAGCAGATGACACCTTACAGCAATTCACCCTCACTTCAGATGGTGCAAGTGACTAAATAAGGAACAGGGTATTGGAGAATAAGGACCAGTGCATCCACTCGAGAGGAGGGAGACATCCCTCCAGTGGGGTTGTTTTAAGTTGATTCAGTTGATCCTGGTGCGATACAGAAAAAGTGGACTAAATGGCCCACTATAGGTGTATGCAAATGTCAGTCCAAAAGTCTACGAATTCACTTCAGCAGCTATATGCCTATTGAAGTATCCCAACCAACTTAAAATCAAGAATAAAAGAAGAACACAGTAAATTCCTTTTAACCTGTTTTCTCAGATTAGGGCTAGATGGCGCTGGAGGTTTTCTTGTACTTTGAGCAGGTGACATAACATAGATCTTCCATGTTGCTGTAGAACTATATGATTTCTCCGCTGCATAGCACCGCCACAGAGTCTAAAGTAAAAACCAAAGAATGCTCTACGTGAACAAATAGGCCTTGTTTTCTAAAGAAAAGCTACATGCAAACATATTTTAAAAATCTTTAACCCAGTTAAATAGCTGTGAAGGGTTCTAAACAGAATAATAACATGTTAAAGAGAATGCAGTCTCTCCCATAAGGGCTCAGAGCTGTCATATTCATTTTAGTGCATGTACTTTAAGGCCTGCTGTTTTTAGTATTAGCAGTGGAAGCTGGAGCTTAATCCATATCCCATGGTGATACAAATTTCCACCATAAAACAGAAATAGCCTTTAGCACCTAGTAAGTACTCCTGCTTTACTTGTTTTTCCTTGCATTGTGCCACATTTTAATATCAATGAGCAAGCTGACATTTTTCTCATACATTACAAAATGTAATATTGAGGCTCCCCCCTCCCCACCCCCCTCCCAAACTGTGGTGCCTATATGTACATGTGCCCAACTCCTTTCATCCCATGATCTAGAATATACATGGTATTAAAGGGAATATAGAAAGGAATCATTAAAAAAATGCCTTTACTGATGACAAGGCTGGTTCCTTGTATTTAATGCAAGAAGCATATCATATATGGCACCAGTATCATGAATGCACTTGTTAAGTATTCAGAGGAGTCAAGAACATAAACTGAAGCAAAAAGATTTGATGATTAAAAGGAAGACAGCAACAATATTGGATTAAAATCGGGACATCGTAACGCTTGGTGCTTTGTTTTGACCACCAGATTGTATTTTCCTGTGCCCTTCCCTGCCCCACTTCAAATACTCACCTGAATTAGAGAAGCTGCAGCTGGAATTTGTCTGTTGAAATGCTTCTGACGTTGTTTCTGTTGTACTTTCAAGGCAAAACCAGAACCTAGAATCCCCTTGGGGAGGGGAAAAGAAAAAACACATACACACAAGTACTGGTTAGTCTTGGGCAATCTCTTATGTACTTTGGACAAATATTTAAAACACAAAATAAAAATATTTTCTTGTAGATGAAGGCCATTTTTAGAATAATCAAAATTAATTTAAGTAATTTTTTTCTCACTTATGAAGGGAGTCTTTTTATCCAATCCCATCATGCAAGATATTAAAAGTTTTCTGGGAATCATATGAATTCACTGACTCCTTTATAGCAATCAGGAAATGGTTTGTCCCCAAAAGACTTAAGGGTCGTGTCTGCAGCTAGCATGTATGGGGAACACATAGCCATGCTTTACAATATTGCAAAGATAATTGTTTGTGATGGTAGAAGAAGCAAATGTAGAGCTCACACAACTGAATTCTACCTGTCCCTTGAACTTACTTCCTCCACTTGCAAAGGAATTGCTTAGTTGACCTGTCAGACAAAGTGCGGGAGAACTAAAGGAAATATTATGCTAACACATATGCATATCTAGTACATTTCTTTTAATGTAGATATAAATTAAGGAAATAAATTGCGGAGCTGTAGGTGTATCCAATTCTGACTCAGCAGTTAGTTTGGAGTATTAGCTTTGAGTATTATGGGTAAATACCTATTGAGTGTCACTTGGAACAAACCTGCATTGAACTTGGTCAAAATAATCAGGTCTCACCTCATTTGAACAACACCCCGCTGGATCTGGCCCACTGGCCATACATTTCACACTCCATTTCAATTCACCATTACCATTTGTTGGTTAAAATATAGACCTACCCAGAGTAGAAGAGACTTGGGTTTTACATCCACCTATGGTAACAGCATGAGGAGATGCCAATTAGTAATACTCTGATAATAGTATTTTGGGGAAAGTCCCTACCCTCCTTTCTTTCTCAGTTTCCCCCTTTGTAAGATGTGGACAATGCTAACATCTTTTGGAATGTGCCTTGAGATCTATGGATGAAGATGTTATTTTAGAGCTAGGAATTATCTATTTAGTTCCCGTTGAAGCCTATTAAAAAGTTAAAAGATTCAATAAACTGCATAGCATGTTCTGGAACATTTTTCTACCAAAGGCATCACTTAACATGTAGCATACTATTTACACACAGGCTTAGAAGACTGGTGTCAAGCTCCCACTCACCGCTGGCAAAGCAAAAAAAGATATAGCAAATACTGAGAAGCAAGAGGCTATTGTCTTCCCAATCCATGTCTGTGGTACTTTATCTCCATATCCAATTGTTGTGACTGTTACCTGCATCACAAAGATAAAGGATTTATTGCAGAGGTTATCTTGTGTAAATGAAAGGAAAACAACACAACACAAAGTGATCCTTTTAGTCATTAGGAACAAGAGAGCCAAGATTTGCAAGCCAGCCTAAAAATTGCCCTCTCTCCTTTGCTAGATCTTGAAGGCATGTGTACGATAGTCCCATGGCTATCTAAACCTCTGTTTCTGGAATGATGTGTATGTTTGAGTCTCAGTTTGTACCATTCTTTTTCAAAAAGTAACTCCTTCACAATCGAGAAGCAGAGTTTTTGAAAAGATGAATAGAACAGAGCTGGTGCAGACATATCTGCTTGTGTCTGGAGACAACCTGAAACAAGAGCAGGAGGCAGGAGGCATATAATGCAACCCCAACTGTGCCAAGAGGCCACGTTACCCTTGCCCCAGAAAACATCAATAGCAGGAAGAGAAAAATGCAGTAGTTTCAGTTGTCCAGCTTTCCCAAAACAAAGGCACCACTAGGCAGTATTTAGTGTTTAAGTATAATTGTTCTTTGTGCTCTCGCTTCTAGCAGTGAAGCCCCTTCTTACTGCCACTCCAAGTGGTGTTTCATGTTGTGTACTGCCTCAGGCATTACATTGCCATGTATCACCATTGCAAAGGTTTCTTTTCAAAGTGGAAAGTTCCACTCATTGAATGAAGAGTGCTTTTCGTTCTCTCCTCAATGCAAGCCATTTCAGAGCTATGTTTAGAAGGAAACATATTTGATTTTGAACCCATGTCTTTGCCCCTCTGCTTTACGCCCTGTTGAACCAAAGTTCTGGCTCAAACAGGCCAAAATACATACTGGTAATAAAAGAGGCTATAAGAATACTGCTATTTAGGGGTACAATTGCCATCTTGATATTCTGCAAAAATTATGCTGACAGGCTTTTCAAAGAAAGCTAAAAGTGATAAAGAGATGGAAAGAACATGCTTCCTCCTGGGAGCCTCCAAGGGCAGCATTGTAATGAACTGAAAAAGAAAATTTGTTAGACAAAGGACCGCAAATATTTGAGATCCTTAAGTTCTGAAAAATTGTATTTGCATTAAGACAAATGGTTCTTCATTCCAAGTATAATGAACATTACTTAGCAGACTCCAGTTTTAGCATCTAAATTCCCTGCAACTGCTATTGTTGTAAATTATACGTTCCTCCCAGTATAGGCAATTTCTTCCCACGTGTCTACGTAGCCTCAAGCATAATGGGGCCTAAATAATGATTGGGGTCAGTAGGTGATACCCCAATACAAACTACTGAATAACCATGATAACAACCAGCAGTAAAAATTAAATGTCAAAATGCTTGCAGATTAGGCTCAGGGGACCAGAGGAAATGAACACAATGTTTCTTTAATGGCAATGGAACTTCTCAGTGTACCCAGATGACCCCTCAGTCTTCTCCCTTTCCTTTTCCTCTCATTTTCCTATGAAAGGTTTCTTGTTCCTCCGAGTTCTCCAGCACTCAGGACTTAAAAACAAACTGCAGTAATGTTAAACTACCCTCACATTACTGTGGGAGATGGCACGAAAGCCATAACCACAGAAGTGAAAGAAAAGATGATTTTCCATCCCCACAGCAGGCTTTTGGCTGACAGATTCTTGCAGGTGCCTGGACATGTCTCAGGAAGTTTTCCCCTGCCACTTTAAGAGAGTTCTTTCTGGGTAATCTAATTAATACATTTAAGTAGGTGGAAAGGATTACACATCATGTAATTCTCCAGTTTTCATTATCCTGCTCAGAATTTTTTGAATATATTTCCAGCAGTTACTAGTGATCTGCATAGAGTATGTTTAATGACTAGCTATTTGGGGGAAAAAAACAACACTTGTTTCTTGAACCAGATTTACTGCGTCATATCAAAGCTGGCATCTTCTGCACATGTTCTGATCTTGCAAACACACACAACTTCAAGAATGTGACTGGTTTAATTGAAGGCAACAGGGCTATTCATGTTTAAAGCAAAGCATGTTACTAAGTATTCTCAAGCTCAGAGCCACAGAGCCTCAATGAATCAAATAGTTTTAAAAAGGAAGGAGGGGGAACAAGGAGGTCACATTGCTTTGGCTTAGCATGAGAATTTGAAGTTGAAAGATTAGTAAAGTAACTCAAAAATCAGTGTTACAGAATGAGTTACCCACTAGAGATGCAATCAGCTGTTTGTCCTGAGTCTGGCAAGATGTCATAGATGACCACGTCAAAGAAGAGTCAATAGGTAGAAGGACAGAACTGAGGTATCAACAGAATGGAGATTCAACTGTGCCCCACAAATAAAAGTTATCGGGAAAGGCTTTAAAATAGTTGCCGATGCCAAGAATTCTGTTTGACTGATAATCCTTCAGGAAATGTTTCTTCATAAGTTTTACCTTGATAATGTTGCTGAGAACAGGTCACATAAAATACAGCAAACCTTTGCTATAACTCTGCAGTTAAATTTGCAGAACCTTTTAAATCTAGGCAAAACAACCAAGCATTTAAGGCAAGAGAGGGCAGACATAGTTAAGTACTGCATTTTAAATTCCTTTTTATTTTCCTTTTTCTTGTGTTTAAATCCTCTCAAGACATTTGTATCAAATTCAGCAAGCTTGCAGTTTTACTGTAGGCAGATTGTCACCTATAATAAAGTCCTGTGGTTTTATTGGATATAACAGTTCCAAATACCACAACCAAGAATTTTATTTTATTGGGCAGGGGGGAGGAGGATAAAAGGGAGGTGAAAGAGCTGATTAGTTTCAAATAGTAAAAATTACATCAAATTTAATTCTGTAATAACGCTACATCTGTGTTTTCACATTGCAGAAGATTAGAAAAGGGAGAGAGGATGATTCACTTTGTCCTTTGTCACTGTTCCCAGCTGTGAACTGCACCTGCACCCTGACTCACTAATGCTGTGGAGTCCTAGATGTCTGGAAAGCTTAAAAACAATTTGAGCAGTGTTCTTCCTTCATGTGCCTCACACAGATAGAAAGATAAAAATCGGCTTTGTCTCTCTCTAGTACAAAACTTGAACCAAATTTTAAAGACAAAAAATATCCCTGAGTTTGTTGTGCAATATAAAGGCACTTTACAAAATAAACTGATTTCCACGTTTACACATCTTAAACCATCAACATGCAATTTAAGCTACATTTTAACTTTTTATGTTGTAGTTGAAAATAGTCTCAATTTTTTCTAACAATTTTTAGTCTAAAATATTTGCAAAAAAAGGCTTGCACAGAGAAACCTTGATTAGCTTGTCCCAACTCTGCAGCCTTTACCCATTTTAGGGCTGCAAGATCCAAGCCTTAAATTCCAAAATATTTCCTTACAACCAAAAAAGTGACTTAATGCTTCAAAGAGTGTCCCTGCCAGGAGGGCAAGAAGAGAGGGATCCCCTTTTTGTATTTACTTCAAATGGAAAGGCTTAATATACCACAGGGAGGAACCAATGCCTGAACAGATGGTATGAAATAGGAGATGCAGGATTATTTTAATCTTTTAACATTTGTACATTGTTCTGGGACATCCATATGGACAAAAAAAATTAAATCTCTTTCCTTCCATTGGTATCATTATAATTCACCTGGTGCCACAAAAATCTGTTTGAATCATGAAGATACTGGAGAAGTTACCTGGGGGGTTTCACTAAAGTGGTGCAAGCTCTATACAATCTCTTGTGCTGTCAATTACGCCCATACTTATCCCCACTATAACACAGCTTTGATTTAATTTCTTCTACCACAGTGGGAAAACAGTCTAGTGGCCAGTAGGGCTGTGCAAAACAGCACCATTCCATTTTGACTTCCATTTTGCTGTTTCAAAGGAACAATGTTTTGTTTTGCTGTTTCAGAGTACTGTTCCATTTCATTTCATCAAAACTGTTTCGCTGTTTCGACACTGTTTCGACGTTTCGTCCATAGGTTATAATGGGGAAATCATGAAAATGCCTATAACTTTTGTCATTTCTTTCCCGATTTGAATGAAAACAGCAAGAATGAACAGTAGCCCCTGCTGAAGCCATGAAGCCTGCCAGGTTTCAAGGAGATAGGTGCAGGGGTTTCTGGGAAACTGTACCTCAAGCTGCTGACAAGCAAAACTTATGACATGTGTGACTGTGTGTGCATTAAGGTGCGCTGTCACTGGTACTGGGGCCTCTACATGACATGGTACTGTGCCCCAATGAGGCCTCCTCCTCCCCTACAACCTCAGCTTGGTCCATTGCTTCAAATAACAACAGGTAAGCAGCCTCTCTTTTCTTTCCTGCAGGAGCTTCTTCTCCAGCAGGTGCCAGAGAACTCTCCCTGCCAGCCCCAGCCCTGAAGCTTAGGTGTGTCCAGGGCCCTGCCTCCTTCCAGTCAGCTGACCAGAAACAGGTGCTAGGGGTGTAGATTGTAGCCGTGTTGGTCTAAGGCAGAGGTGGGCAATTATTTTGGGCAGAGGGCTGCTTATCCAGTTTTGGCAAGCTGTCAAGGGCTGCATGGGTAGCCCCCCCCATCACCATCTTGAGACCAATGTCTCAGGGCCAACATTGGTGGGGCCCAGAGCAGGGCACAGGCTGGCAGGGGTCTGAGGTGGTGAGTTGGGATGCACAAGCAGGGAGAGTGGGGAGCTAGCTCAGCTCCATAGAGCCCCTGCCAGCTGGGACCCTGTACTCCTGCCACCCTTCTCTGGGCCCCACTGGCAATGGCCCCAGGACACTGGTATAGGCCCCATGCACCTCCTCACTCCCAGTGCCCCCCAGCCCCGCAGTACAGGTGGGAGGAAGTGTGCAGCCCTGGCCTCTGCTCACCAGCAGAGAACAAGCTGGTGCTGAGCAGGCGGAAAAGCAGCCCCTTTCCTGCCTTGTGGCCAACGCCCCATGCTGCAGCTGCTCGCAGCCCATGTGGGGCTGCCTGTGCCTGCTCAGGATAGCCCCGCGCAGGCTGCGAGCAGCTGCAGCAGGGAGCACCGGCTACAGGGTGGGCAAAGGGCTGCTTTTCCCCATGCTCAGCACCAGCTTGTTCCCTGT